CCCAAGCAAGTAGTGATGTAAACTGTGGCCCTCGGAGAGCTCTAATAGCAGCTTTGCTATCTGTTAATATAAATATTTTTCTTCTGTGTACACTGAATGTCTTTGAGAGATGCCACACTTTGGTAGGTTGCATATATCTCGGCTTGTATACAGTTCCAAACCCCCTTAATGGGTATCTGTACTCTCTCTCATATGATTGTGCAAATCAGCATCCCTGTGCCAAATGACCCCTTCAGAAAAGAATCTAATGGAACCAGGTCCAGTAGGACTTCAAGGGCTGCTGTAGGTGTTGTTCTGATAGGAACTGTGATGCTCAGGCAAGGTCATTCTTTGCACATGGGTTAGCATCACTCTTGCCACCCCAACTTGAACCTGAACCCACCATAAAGCAGCATGTGGCAGACTATGGCCATGTAGATCCATCTGATGACTTTTGGGGTAGCACTCCTGCAATTCTGCTGCTCTGGTGTAGACACATTGCTGCATTCTTACAATTTTCATTTACATGTCTTTTTCAGTTAAGTGTCCTGTCTAGATAACACCCAAAAATTTAACTCATTCTGACATGAAGAGGTCTACACCCTCCAATTTTGGAGGTGAATAACCTTGACTTTCTGTATTGTTTGGATTGGCAAAAAATTCAAGCTCCCGGCACCATCTGGTTGCTATGTTTAGTCATTTCTGCATGAGGTTACACAGTACTCAGGCAGAAGCCTTCTATAAGTATGATCAAGTCATCTGCATACCCTTGTGTATGAAGTCTAGATCTACTGAAAACCAGGTGCCAGCACAGGGGCAAGATTACTCCTCCCTGTGGACAGCTCTATCTCAATTGTCAAACAGTCCCCCAGAGTTGAAGATTTCCTTGTCTGTAACATGAAAATTGGCCAATTTGTAGTTGGCTTTTCAACGCCTTTCCTGGCATGTGCTCTCTATGGCTTCTACAGATACATTGTCAAATGCCCCCTGTATGTCCAAGAAAAAGCCAAGCACATACAGTATTGTCCATGTGCCAGGCTGCATTCTGTTTGCAAAACAACATCATGTAAGGCTGATATATCGACATGTAAGGGATGGTATTTTAATGCTATCACCTTTAAGTCCTAAACAGCATGCATATCAACCTCTCCATTCCCTTCAGCAAGAAGGATGTTAAGCTGACAGGTGTGAAAGATTGTGCTTTTCTGTATGTTGACTTGGCAGGTTTGGGCAGAAACTAAGACAACCTTTGCTGTCCTCCACCCAACTGGTACATAGCAATTTGCTAGACAAGCAACATATATTTTTTATTGTGTCCAGAAGCAATTGTAGTCCTTTTTGAAGTAGAATTGTGAAAATGTGATCTGGACCACAAGCTTTAAATGGGTCAAACAAACAAATTGCCTGTTTTACTTTGCCTTTAGTAATAAAACTTGCAGCTCGGCTCCATTTGTCCTCTGTTGGATTTGAGATAGCAATTGTAACGATTAGTGAAGTCTCTTCTTCCCCAGGAAAGTGTACCTGGAGAAGATGCTGAAGCACACTTGTCTGTGTGACTGTCAATTCTTCTGGTGGAATAATGAAGTTAGTGGTTGACTGAATTCTTTCTGAGAAGTTTGTAAAGCTTAGAAGAGGCACTAGGTCCTTTAACATCTTCACAAAACTTTGTCCAAGAAAGTCTCTTACATTTATTGTGGGACTGTTCCCACCTGGTTTTGCTTGGTTCCTGCCCTGCGGAGGCATGACAAGTCTGGGATCCACCAGGCCGGCTGCTTTGACAGTCCACTTTCTCTGGCCAGGCAGACTTTTCTGCAGTTTGTGCAACATCAGTCATGCTTGCGACCTCTGTCTCAATGTCTTGCACAGTTTTGATCCTGGTAATTATCCCACACATAAACTGGGATAAACTGCTGATAAACAGATTCCAGTCAGTATTTTGGGGGTTTCTGTAAGTGACTGGGTGTGGTTTCCCCATCTTCAGCTAAACTGAATTCATCGGTGGCCTGACAAAGTTTCTTCAGGAGACAATTCCCTATCACATTTTTTGTTTACCAAGTAGACCTGAATGTTATATCAATGACCTCATTGTAGTTAACAGTTTGGAAGTTTGGTACAATGCTCTCATTAAAGACAAGCAGGTTTTCTGTCAACAAATATTCTAACAGAGATCTGTCTCTAGGATTAACATCAGAGCTCCCCCAGCTCACGTGATGGGAATTGACATCACAAACAATGAGTACCGGGAGGCCCTTATCTTTAGCTTAATCGACTATTGCCACAAACTCCTGGGATGGAGGTGGTTGCTGTGAATCAAACAGCGGATAAACAGAATAAACAGAAGCTGCAATGACTAGTCTGGATTCACCATTTGACTGAATGTCCAACTGCACTGCTACAGCATCACCTGTTGTTAGGTGGGACAGTGCAGTGCATCTCACACCTCTTGTCAGGGCTACTGCTACTCTGAGTCTGTGGCTGCTCACATCATGTAGAAGTGTGCCCCCAGGCAATCTCAGGCCTCGTACCATAGAGTTTACAATCCAAAGTTCCTGGATGAAGGTTATGCCTGTATGTATCCTGCTAAGGCAGGTACACAGCAATGTACTGTCATATTTACAGTGATTCAGGTTACTTTGTATAAATTCCATCATCCCCAAAACCACAGAGACTAGGACCCTTTTCTCCATCAGAGGACATCAACAACATGTCAGTGTCCTCATCACCTGGAGAGCCCAGCACTTGTGAGGCCTCAATTGCTCCCCAATGGGGTGCAGTCAAGGGGCTACACTCGCACTGGGTACTCCCTGTAGACGCAGCAACAGCAAAGACAGAAACCCTTGCCATTGCTGAGCCCCAAGGCACTAAATGCTCCAGCTGCACATAGACTGACTCATAGGCATCAGCTCCTGGGACTGGAGTAAAGGTTGTTCCAGTCACTACTGCTGGCCTGTCCAGTCTGGTTCCCCACCAGACAGGCCAGAGGCACGGTCACAAGACCACCTGCAACATCTGCACCCAATGKGCTGCAGGCTGGGTCCCTGGGGATATTAGAACCCCCTTTTGCCAGGTACTGGGGGCTGGTCCCTTGACTGTTCAATTAAAAAGTATTGTCAACTTGACATCCACTGGGGGCAGATGGCTGATGAGTGTTGACTGTGCCTGGGTTTTATATCAGAGTTTTCCTTCTTCCAGGCGGGTTGCCTATTAAGGCTATCGAACCCAACCTGCCTGGCTGATTTTGATTCATAGCATCCTATTTGCCTTTCATCTTATTCAGGCACGCCACTATACACCAGGAAAAGGGATCCTCTATCCACCAGTTGAAGGACATGTCTCTGTGCAGTGCAGCCTCAATGCGAGGAAGGTAGGGCTCCTAAAAATGTTGAGAATTAATTATATTTAAAAATGAATACTAASAACATTTTTTGTCTTAGTTATTGCAAAGGAATGTGGTTAGTGCACTTACAAATTGATAAAAAAGCATAAAAATGTTGCTATGCCTATTTGACCTGATATCAAAGTTTATCACTCAAAAATAGTTGGGGCCACTGGTCTTTGCTACTGTTATTTTGAGGGTCAAAAAGCTGAAAAGTTTTGGATCCGTTGGAGTAAACAGCAGACAAGCAATACAAACCATTTTAAGAAAAATTAAACATACCAAATAGTGAAGAAAATAYATATGTTTTTAGTTTTTTTATATACTTTTTGCAAGAGTAGGTTATAATGCAAAGTCAACTATGTTATAATGTCAGACACTCATCAAAAACATACCCAGGTGTTGCTTTGACTCATTCATGCATGTTTGAGAAATCCTCGAATCTCTATTTGAAGCTACCTAAACACTTGCTGGTACAAAGCACCGCCTATTTGAACAAAGCTCCTCCCTGGAGATCAGTCTGCAGCCAAGCACCCACCCCAAAGAGCACCCCTCCCCCAAAGCATTGTTGTGAAGGTGCTGAAGTAGTTAATTTATTTTGACATTTACAGTATTATTACAACAAAGGTAACATGGTTACTTAATTGTGGTTTAGAATTGGAAAAATAAAATAAAATAAAATAAACAAAAAACCCCTCTTTTAATGTTGTCATGTTTTGTGGCTTTGCTGTTTGAGCTTGCATTCAAACCCATGTTTGTAGAAATATATGCATTCACTGGATCCATACAAGGTGGCACAGTGGCTCAGTTGGTAGAGCTGATGCCTCTCAGCAAGAAGGTCACCGGTTCAAATCCTGGTCCAGGGACCTTTCTGGGTGGAGTTTGCATGTTCTCTCCGTGCATGTGTGCATCAGCTGTGTGAGTGACCCCAGGGAATTGGCAAAGATGTGTGCTCAACAATTAACTAGTGCTAGTTAATTGTTGAATTGTTGTCTTTCAATCAGGGTTTAGGCCTCTGATCTTCAGTGGTCAATCAGCATGCCAAGACATTTTACACAATGTTATTCCAATTTTAAGCCCCATCTCTATCCCAACATGACCGTGCCTCAGCGCAGAGAGCAAGGACTTTATAAGTCAGAGCTGCAGACAGCATTTTTAAGATGAACTGGGACAGACACTGTGAGCCACACATTCTTGTTCAACATCAATCTGAAAATGGATGAGCACAGATTCCACCTGAAAAGCTTCCAAGAAGAGTGGAAGCTGCTTTATGGACCAACTCCATCAAGTCACTGCTGAAGTGAGGTTAGATACGCCTGTAGGTTCACTAGAGCAAAATAAAATTTCTATAACTACAAAAAGACAAATTAAAAATAAGTTATGGCTTGCCAATTTTGTTCATTTTAATAATGACTTGACGCTCAAATGCTGCTGTAGACAAATCAGGCAGAAAAAAAAGCCACTGGTTCTCAATGAATTCGTCTACTACTTACGTTTTGAATACTTCTGATAAATTACTATATTAGTTTTGTTTTTACAACGCTAAAAATGTATGTAAATCTAAGGCGATGATAATAAAATCCTCCAAGCAACATTTGAATGAAGTTTTTAAAACCGTCTTACGTCACTTCCTGTTGGAGTCGGACAGTAGTAAAAAAAAAAAAAGAATTCTAGCTAGCTTGCCACCGACAAMCGGTTACACAGCTGAAGTAAAAAACCATCCATGTCAAGACAAAAGAAGGCTTTTGGGAGTCTTGTGCTGCTTCTGTGTACATATCGAGGCACACCGTCCTGTGAAGCGGTAAGTAGGTCGTTTTCAGGCCAAACAACGGCTAGCAGCTACCGCTAGCTGCCTGTCTGCTGCAGGCTTTCTGCGATACAACACACGGTAATTATTGAACTGGTAGCTACAATTACCACACAATGGACGAGGGCTTGGTTTACATTTACAGCTGTGGCATTTCGGCTTTCTGCTTCATTATATTTCACCGCGTTATTAGCTAAAGCCGGAGCTTTAATATCGCTGTTCATGATGCGTTAGCATGCCAGTCTGAGGATATCATCCATCATCATCATCATTATCATCATCATCATGCCCCAAACATTTCTTATTAAAAAWATATATATATAAATAAAAAAATAAAATAGTCACACGTAGAATATATATACTACATGTCATGTACTGCAGGATATAACAAATTATGTTATCAGAAGCTGTTAGTTTAATCCACAAATCCACATTAGTTGGCATTAAGATTATCCTTCCTCATTGTTGAGATGCCAGGACACTTAGCCCTTAGCTCAGCATCTGCATTTAGTTACATCTGAGGGAACAGGTTGGTTTAAGAGTCGTGGGTGCTAATGCCTGGGTGAGTTGTCTTAATGACCTTTATTGATTTTGTGTTTGTTTATTTTCCATTTTAGTTTCTACCTGGCTCAACAGCAGAAACCGTTGGTGCAGTGGTGTGCCAGGAGATACCAAGACCAAAGCTTTTCTGAATCCAGGTTTGTTTGTCAAATGCGTACTGTAATATTTATTCACTTATTTTTGTCATTATCAAACGTTTCATTATTTGTCTTACATAATTATACTTATTTATAAGCATGACTATATGTGAAACCTAAATCATAGCAGCCTGCACACGAGTGTTGAAAGATTTTAATTTATTTTAGTTTTTGATATTTAATGTTATTGTCCTGTACAGATGTCGTCTAGTCATTGTAAAACATTTACACTTAACACGTTTGTTTTTTGTCATTAAAAATCAAATGTTTTTGGTGCTTATGAATATTTAAAGCAGCAGAGATTCTATAAATCCTGCCTAAATAAGATCTCACCACTGATGTGTGCTTATTTAGCAGCTTTCTAACTGATACAGTATGACTTCAGATAGTAGAGCACACCTCCAAAAATACAAAATATATGGTTGTAATAAATCAGAAGATAAGATTAGGTAGAGGACAAACATATGAATCAGCTGATGAGTCAGGTTTGCATACTGAGGCCTTGTCATCAGATGCTTTAAAATCTCCATCATAGAACTAGGACTAGTTCTACTGTCATTGTGGCAAAATAAAAAGGTATTGAAAATAGGTTTTTAATTTTATCCATATCCTCTAAAACCTGACTAACTCAGGTTTCTTGTCGTTTTTGTAGTATATATTTCAAAATACCCACCCACAGTTTATATTCTGCATACACTGTTCATCTGAAGGTACTGCTGCTCTTGTGACACAAACAAGCAACATAAAGTAGAAAAACAATGAAAATCAATAATAATGAACCCCCACCCCCCAACACGCACACACACAAGATTGATAAAGACAACTGGGTTTAAATAAAATGAACATCTCAGCCTCTTACAATAAACAGAACTTTCAAATGCAAACCTAAAAACACGTGTTGTAAAGCTACAGTGTATTTTACTTGATGCAGGGAGAACAATAGTTTGATTTATTAGTTCATGACGGCAGCACAATTATAGTCATGATTGTTGCAGTTATTTTGCAGTTATTTTGATTAAAATCATCAGTTTGGCCGATTAAATCTTAGGGATGATTTAATCAATCATTTTTGAATAAGCATTRATGGGTAATATTAGCAATACATAAAACCCATAAGTGTGTGTTACAAGTCACAGAGTGTAGCCAGGAATGGAGAGAGAAAAGCTTTTTAGCTTCTAAATGTTGCTCATATTGCTATTTCTGTCGTGGATCATGGATGCAATCAATGAAGTCTAATGAGAAACTTTTCTCCCTCTTCTTTCTCCCCGCTGCTCATGACACGACATGTCATTATGACTGTTACCAATATTTTGTGTCAGGGAGTAATGTGTTGCTAAGACRTGATGCAGTTCTAGAGGGATGAATGGCGATATGCAAAGTATCAGCACCTTTACAGCTTCGTTTACGCTCCTCTCTAGGCCACAGTACTTACTCAGTGAAGGATGCTTCATCAAAAATACACCYGTGATGCATAAAACCTTTGATTTTTGGAGAGTTTATTCTTATTTTTTTTTATTAAAAAGCATGTAGATTTAGCAGAGCCTATTGGCTCAATTCATGTTAGGTGTAATAAAGGGAAGCCACACAATATTTTTTTCCTTTGTGGAATTTATCGAAGTCTCAGGAAAATGTACATTGCATCTTCAGTAAGCTGGGCTTTTTCAATTTCATTCATAAATAACAGAATGTGGATGTTCATTTGGTAAACAAAAATGTGGTTTTTTTCTATTATCTTTTTTAAATACGAAGAAAAAAAAGCGTTGCTTTCATATTGTTTTGCCAGAGGTTGTAGCTTCAATACAGATGTTTGCAGGTGCGGGTGGGGTATATGTAGGGCTGGGAAATAACTACTCTATATATCACGGGAGACACATGATTAATATCAATAGAAAATTCAACAAATAGAATGTTGATAATTTCATTGAACTCAGATCCAGAATCGCACGGCATTCTGGGGGATGTAGGCAGAGGAAAGGCTTCAGCACCTCGAAAAACTCAAACTCAGAAGACTAATCAATATTATCTATCAAGTGATATGAAATGCTTAAATCGTGATAATTTTTTTCAGCCATATTGCCCAGTCCTAGATATAATGCAGATTTTAGCACTTCATATTCACTTCATCAGCTGTCAGTTTTTGTTGCTCTCTAACAGTTACTTTTCTTTTGTTTCAGCAGGAAAACTGACTTAAAAATTCTACAAATAAGTCAACTTGAGGCTAATTTATTTATTACTTTTTATGTACGTTGAAGCCTACAGCTCTTATTAAACCTGAATACCTGTAAATTAAAAGGAAATGTAACTTTTTTTTCTGTGATCTTTCTTCCTCTTTTACACCTGTTTGCTGTCTCCCATGTTCAGGTTTGTACCAGAAGATGAACGGTYTGTCCATACGGGAGCTATGCTGCCTGTTCTGTTGCCCCCCCTGTCCCAGCCGCATTGCAGCCAAGCTGGCCTTCCTCCCTCCGGAGCCCACCTATGCTTTGCTCCCTGACCCAGAAGCGGGCTCCGGAGCTACAACCGTGTCTGCTTCCAACCCTGGGGCTGCTGCTCCTTCACTGGGAGCACCGGGACTGCGCTCTCGACTGAGCACAGGCAGTGGAGGTGACAGAGGAGGAGGAGGCGGCGGCGGTGGTGGTGGTGGTGGAGGAGGCGGCAGCAGCAGCAGTGGAGCTGGTGGGGCCGGCGGCGGCAGCAGTAGCATTGTGGGCGAGGGGAGGTGGAAGCTGCATCTCACAGAAAGAGCAGAGTTCCAGTATTCACAGAGAGAGCTGGATGTGACRGATGTGTTCCTGACCAGATCTAGTCGAGGGAACCGGGTCGGATGTATGTACATTCGCTGTTCCCCCAACGCCAGGTGAGATTCACTGAGTCGTGTGAATCTGAGCATCATCAAATGACAACAGTTTTTATCTGTTGTTAAATGTTCAAAATCTCTAAATGTATCATCTTGAAGATTTCATTTCTTTTTTTTTAAACACTTCTCTGCTTTGTCTTTAGGTTCACCGTGTTGTTTTCACACGGCAACGCAGTCGACCTGGGTCAGATGAGCAGCTTCTACATCGGCTTAGGCACACGTATCAACTGCAACATCTTCTCCTATGACTACTCAGGCTACGGTGTCAGTACTGGGAAACCATCTGAGAAGAACCTTTATGCAGATATTGATGCTGCCTGGCACGCCCTGCGCTCCCGGTAAACAAAGACTTATTTATTTAATCAGGTTTGAAAACTAGAACAATTTTTTTTATATCTAACCATCAGAGTTGAGGCTCTAACAGTGGCTCTTTCCAGACTGACTGCCTTTTTACATCCTTGTTTCAGCATCAAGTGATCTGTCTAAAGTAATAAGATGATTTCTCCAGTGTATCAACTACAACATACAAAAGKGTCATTCTATCAAGTTTCAGATTAGCATCTTATGTCCTAAATTATTAATCAAGGTTTAGGGTTTTTAAAGGTTATTTAAAATATTATCTAATAATTTTACTCACAGACACAAATTAGGTTTTTAAACCAATAAGCTCTGACAATATTTCATCTGGATCTTTTAAAGCTATTAATGAAAGCTGCTTTTTTAAGTTAGTGATATTTATCTAATGCATGATGAAGTGTTTTTTTGTCAAAATGGCAACCAGAATAAAACGTAATAATCTGCGTATAAGAATTGGCGTACTCGTTGACAGCAATATACACGTTTACAGAATGTAAGTTCCCTTTTTTGTTGACTTTTATTCTGAAATGGAAGCCTTTGTTTTTCAGGTATGGCATCAGTCCTGAGAACATCATCCTGTACGGTCAGAGCATCGGCACAGTGCCCACAGTGGATTTAGCATCAAGGTTTGAGTGTGCCGCTGTGGTGCTTCACTCTCCTCTCACCTCCGGCATGAGAGTGGCCTTCCCCGACACAAAGAAAACCTACTGCTTCGACGCCTTCCCAAAGTAAGTCCATAACTTCAGACAGAACACAGAACGTTGACTGTGGGTACTTCACTCCTGACCTGAGGTCTGTGTTAGTAAACATGTATGTTTATACTCTAAATAAAACCATTAAAGAACATTTAAGTCTAGTAAATATGACAGTTGACAACTGTAGAGCAAACTTAGTACAGATGTTTAAATTGCTAAAAAATGTAGAACTGAAAACATATGTTGCAGGGGGAAAACAATCATACAATGAGCTGTTTGCACAAGTGTGCAGATATATAATAAAGTATAAAGTATCTCTTGCACACTCTTCAGGTCACCACACAGTTTTTCTGTCAGGTTTTGACTCATCCTTGTGAAACCTTTTTATGATGAAGTTGTTAATTTTTTTATTTAGAGGTGTGTTTGGAGTCACGGCCGTTTTCGTCTTCAGCTTTCTAGCAGCACCTGCAAGTTTTAGGCCAAAACAAACACGTGTTTCAAGCTAACCATCCTCCCAAGACTAAAACCTCAGTTCTAGCTGATGAAAAGCAACCTTGTAACATTTAACACAACCAGTAATTGTCACAACTTCCAGCAGCTGGTTCAGTGTTGCTGCAGGCTTCTCAGCAGTCTCCCTGATCAGTTCTGTTTTATTATTAGTTTTGGAGGGCCATCCAGTTCTTGGTAATGTCACCTTTCTTCCATATTTTCTGCTCTTGTTGATGGCCATTTTCACTGTGTTTCATTGTTATCTGGTGTTGAGGAATTTTTGGTTACCTTGTCCTGACTGATAAGGTGTCAACAATGAGATACTTGCTGCTTAGTGAGCAGTTTTTGAACCACAGCTTTGACTGTAGGATACAACTAAGAACGTCAGGAATCCAGTCCTTGGACATGTTGATCAGAGTAGGACTGGGTGATATGGCTGAAAAAATGTATCACGACTTAGGCGTTATCAGTCAATATTGATATTTATTGATTAGTTTTATGCTATACCTATTTGAAATAAGGAGCAGGAGAAAAAAGGCTGATAAACACTGACAAACTGGTGACGTGGCCTTTTCTCTTTTTATCTGCAATTTCCTCTCAAGCTGTTGCTCATTTCTCCTT